GGGGATTTTGGAGCCTTGCCATTAATTGCCCATTTAGCCCTTCAAAGCCACCTCACATATGCTCCAATAAGATTCCATCTTACTTTATTATTTTTTACTTGACTTTAGAAAATACTCAGACAATTGGTTCTCCCAAGGCCATTAAAAAAAAGGGGATAGTTGAGCTGTCAAAATTTTACCCTTTCAGAATTTTTTGCTTCGAAGCCAGAAATGATGGTTCGAACCATTTTCGGAAAACAAAAGTTCGGGATTGATTCGAACCAAAATAAATTGGTTCGAACCCAGAACTCTAAACAAGGAGAACATGAGTTAATTCTAATCGTGGGGAAAGATTAGAAATCTTGGATTAATTTTCCTGCACACTTAGCACAAAAATAGATTAAACTCTTTTGACTTATGATTTTAAATCATCATCAAAATACAAAGAGAACCTAACACAAACTGTTGACGACCACTTGAGACTTTTTTCAAAATAAATGAAAAATCAAGTGTGAAAATATAAAAAAGAGGGAGTCGCCACTCGTCCAAATTATAAGATGGGACAAGTCACCTAAAACAAGTCTGCGTAGAGATCGGGGTTCAAAGGTTCAGTTAGGAGTGAGGAAGGGCATACACGCACCTCACAATCCTCCGTTTAAACACGGTTGCATACTTTAAAATTGGGATTTTAATTCAACTTATTTATTACACAAATTAAAATTCTTTTTACTTTTTAACCCTTTTTAGTTTTTTTTTTTAATTGGATTAGGTTGACCCATCCCAAAAACACAACCCGCTATTTAAAATAAAGAAAAACAGATCAAACCCACAAAAATAAAACTTGCAATTAGGCTTCATCAGTTTAAAGGAAGAACACATTCATCATAACAGAAAAATCTTATTCACCAACACAAAAAAAAAAGGCACACTCATCAGACAAAATGAACAGAACAATTTTTTTTTTTTTTTTTGATTTTTCATTCATTTTCCAACGAAACACATGCAAACTTAAACACAGATCTAAACAAAATCAACAGAAAATAGCAAAAACACCCACGGCGAAATTTTTAGGAGGTAGATCCAGATCGGAAGGGAGGGATCCCACCCACCGGACCAGGCTCCGTTAGTCTCCTTCACTATCCTTCCCAAAAATCCCTCTGTTCAGGAGATTACCTAAGGTAAGAATACCCTTTTGTTTTCCCACCTCCAGCGAGCAGAATCGATCTTCTTTTCAAACTAAACTCGAAAATCAACCAGCAAAAGACCCCCCTCTTCTCCTCAAAATTTCCTTCTTCTGCTCTCAAAAACTCAGACGAGACTCCCCAGCAAACAGACCCAAAATCAACCCACCATCCCCCTTTCAATCTGATTTTTCTCTATATATATACCCGAATAAAAGATAAAAATAAAGATAAAAATAATAAAAAAGCCTTGCTCTGTCAATCAATAATAATGCTAATTTGTCTGGAGCTGCTGTAGCGTGCAGAGGCAGAGCAGCAGGGGTGCAGCAAGGCTCGGTGCAGGGTCATGATGCTGGCACAGAGTGCAGGCGTGCAAGCAACGTGGGTTCGGCGCAGCAGGCGGCAAGGGGATCTGGTGCAGCAGAGGATTCGGCTTTTTGGCAGAAGCAGGAGTGCAGGATCAAGTGCAGATGTAGCAGAGTGCAAGGCACGGGCGTGCAGGGGCGCAGGGGCGCAGGGGCGCAGGCTCGGTGCAGCAGGAGGCGCAAAGAAAGGAAATCTGGGTGTGATCGGGGTGCAGGCTCGGTGCAGCAGGGGCGCAGGGGCGCAAAGGGGAAAGTGCAGGCGCAGGGTGCAGGGGCGTAGCGCGCAGGTCACGGGGCGCAGGCTGGTTCGGGGAAAATAACAAATTGATGGGGAAAGAGAAGGTTCCAGACACCTTCTCTTTTTTTTTTGTTTTTGGGTTTGGGTTAAACGGGTTTTGGGTTTGGTTTTTTTTTTGGGTAATTTTGGTTTGGGTTTTGATGGGTTTTGGGTTTGGGTTTGTAAATTCATTTTGATGAACTTCACCCCTTCAACTTTTAATTTCTTCAATTGAGTCCCTTCTTTCTTCTTCTTGAATTTTCCAATTTCTTTTTGCATGTAACACCTGAAACAAAATAAAGATATATTAGTCAAAGAAAAGGGAAATTTTCATATTTTTATATTTTTGATTTTTTTGTTTTTGATAAAAATTTGAGTTATGACATGTGTTAACACATAGGTGAACTTTAAGTCAAATGTACAGGCAGCTAAGACATTTTGGGTTGGATACTCTTTTCTACCATGATATTTAGGAGCATCTAAAGGTGAGACTTTTACACGAATGTGTGTTCCATCAATTGCACCTACACAATCCTTAAAGTATGGGTAGAATCTACTACTTGACATTATCTTTACAAGGATTTGTGAACCATCTGGTTGTTTAATAAATTTTTCTTCAACTGCTATTATAGCTCTCAACACACTATGAAAATGTCGACTAGTAGTTTCTCTAGAACATCGAAACCAAAATTGGATTGAATGGTTTTTGGCATTCTTAGCTAGAATATAAAGAGTTTTAGCTACTTGTTCCTCAATAGTTGCTCTCCTTGTGAGTTGGAGACCTCCCTCCCTTTCAAGTATGTCACAGAATTGTAAAAAAGCTCTAGGACTCATCCCTATGAGATAACGGCTTCTATCACTCCCCACAATTTTTTTCATTATTTCATCTCGAACTGGTTCTCTCTCATTAATTATATTATCATCAAGAAGCTTTCTTTTTGGTCGACTTTGAAGAAACCACCAATAAACAACTAAGCATATTACATGAGCAATGGCCTTTCTACGCATATCTCTCATGGCATCCATCTATATTTATAAAATACAAATTAAAATTCGATATTATGATATATTTTACATTCAGTTTTATAACTAAAAAGTAAAAGAATAATCAAAGTCTCAATAGACAAATATAAATATAAAATTCTATGTCATGATAAGGATCAAATTCAATTGTATAATTAAGGTTCATAAGCATAAAAATAAAAAAATTAATCCTTATAACTAGCAACTTTTAAATAAGAATTACCTTAATTAGTACTTGAAGGCCAGCAAATCAAACCCCTATCTTAGCTTTGTCCTTGTAAATCTAACTGTAACCAAGAAAGAGAACAATAACTCACGTAAAACACAGCAACATGGTAAAATATAACCAAGCTCCGAAAGGTCATCTACAAGAATACAAAAAACATGGTAGAATATAACCAAAATAATAAAAATTATTATTTTAGAATTTAAAATTCTACTCCTGCCAGTTGCTTTATTCAGTAATTATAAATAAATTCTGCTCTGGCCAGTGAAGCAACCGAAGGCCATTATGAAACAAAAAAAGACATGGCAGCAGGGTCATGATTATTTTTTCATGGAAACTATGATATGGAGATGCTAGATTGTTTCCATCTTGTAGAATGTAGATCGTTTGTTCTTGTGTGGGCTTGGTCTCGTATGAGTCCTAGTGTACGTCCTGTTTGCTATCTTAGGACATCAATTCATCATTCAACTCTTGGATTTAGGTTCCCAAACTAGTATTAACATGTATTAATCTCAAACAAACAAATGCAGCAACAGACTTGAAACTAAAAAATAGAGAAACAAAAATATGATAAAGAACAAGGCGTATACTTATTGGTTTATGGCTTCTGTTGAATCCTTTGGTTTTGGTGCTGTTGCCGGCAAGAAGGAGAAGGAGAGTTTTGGTGCTGTTGCCGCAAGAAGGAGAAGGATATAATAAAAAAAATTAAGGTTAATTTTGTAATTACATTTAATCTAATCTAAACAGTCACTCAAATTCCTCCCTAACCCCCCAAATCGGGCGGATTGCAAATTTGCAGATTTGAGGGTGGTTAAAGGGAGTCCGAATCAGTCCATCTCCCTCCCCTTCTACCTCTTTGGAAACCCAAACAGGAGGAAGGAGACAACCCCCCCTCACTCCCCCTCCCTTGCCATCCATCCCCATCCCTTCCCCTCCCTTTCCGTCCGACACCTCCAATCCAAACAATACATTAGAAATTAAAGCTAAATTTTTAAACTTAAATTTATATCGTTGGTACTCAACTTTAGAAATGAAAAAAAAAAAAAAAACATAAATCGATGATAAGAGTATTCATTTAATTGCTAAATCACTGCCAAAAGAATATATCAATTTGGCTTCATAAGTATGACATTACTCAAACTAGCAATTAAAGCTCAAATAAATAATTTTATTTGGTTACCTTGAGTAGATTTTAAGAGAGAAAAAAAGACAAAAAGAAATTTATCAAATATAATATCGATTTTTCATATTTACCTTTTGTGCTTTAACTAAAAATTCATCTGAATTGAATCGTTGGTTAAAAGAAAAAAAGAAAGAAAAAAACAAACAGAAAGAAGAGAAAAAAACGAAGTCACAGAATCATTGGATAGCTGGTTAAAAGAAAAAAAGAAAAAAAACAAACAAACAGAAAGAAGAGAAAAGAAACGAAGTCACAGAATCATTGGATAGCAGCGATGTCAGTGGTGAAGGCCCAAGAAATGTTTTATCTAAAATTTCTCTTTCTTAAAAAACCTGATATCAAAGGTTGCAGGTTACTCCTTAAAAGGAATGTGACGTGACCCAATAAATAAGCAGGTGTTGGTTGGAGAGTGCGGGGGCGATTGCTCCTAGCAATTGCACGTTTGTACAAACTTCAAACGTCACTGCTGAACTAGGCCATGTATCTCTGTCTAATGAAAACACTGAAATTTTTTATCTTGATTTTGGACTTCCATCAGGGAATATGCTTGGCAGGGTTAAATCATATATATATATATATATTAAATAAATTTATAAGAAGTTGAATTCGAATCATTATTTAAAAGAGAAAAAAATGCATTTTACGTGGTGACCTTAGATCACTAGGATGAAGGCCTTTAAGTGCTGGATTAAATCATATATTTAACTTTTTGTCTTGTTAAATTTTAAAATTTTTAGTTTCTC